TGGCTCTAGGTTCCCTCTTGAAAGCTTGTAAGCCAGTCACTTCTTGCCTCTGTAGCCCCCCCACCCCATTTTGGGTAGTTAATGTCCAAGTTGCCCATCCCTGTTTACTCTGTGTGTGGAGGGGGTGGGAATGATTCTTGCTGTAAGGATTTGTTCCCTCTTTTGAGCTACTGCATCCATAGGTGTAGGTCAAATTCATCAAATTGTATCAGATCACTCTTTTTTTCCTCTTCTTTCTTCTTCTGGTTGAGCTCTGATCATTCAGTCATTGAAGTCAGGTCAAGTGGGTATTATCTGCAAGTGTGGGTGTTCTTGTGCATATTCCCTCTCTTTCTATCAGCTGCACACTTCACTTGCCTCCTGTGCCACCTCACTTTCTTGAAAGATTTCAATTTTTATTCCATCAATTCCTGGTGCTTTGTTCTTTGCCAGTTCCTTCAATGCACCTTCGACTTCCTCCTTCAATATCATTGGCTCTTGATCATATGCTACATCTTGAAACGGCTGAACATCAACCATTTCCTTTTAGTCCAGTGACTCTGCGTACTCCTTCCACCTTCTCTTGATGCTTTCTGCATCATTCAGTAATTTGCCCCAGAGAATCCTTCAATAATGAAAGTTGAGGCTTGAATTTTTTCTTTAGTACCCGCAGCTTGAGAAATTCTAAGTGTGTTCTATCTTCTTGGTTTTTTGATTCCAGATCTTTTCACATTTTGTTGTAATATTTGGCTTTATCTTCTTGTGCTGATCTTTGAAATTTTCTATTCAGCTCTTGTACATATATATATTAGAGAACTGGGAATCAACTTTGTGACTCAAGGGAGGTGTGACCAACCATACAAATGGAGATTGTTGTTGTTGTTGCTAGGTGCCATTGAGTTAGCACCAAATCATAGTGACCGTATGCACAACAGAAAGAAACACTGCCCTGTCCTGTGCCAAACTCACAATTGTTGCTACACCTGAGCCCATTTCTGCTGCTACTGTGCCAATCCATCTCATTGGAGATCTTCTTCTTTTTCTCTGACCTCCACTTTACCAATCATGATATCCTTCTCTAGGGACTGGTCTCATCTAATAGTATGTTGGACGTATGAAAGACAAAGTCTGGACATCCTGGCTTCCAAGGAGCATTGTGGTTGTACTTCTTCCAGCACTGATATGCTTGTTCTTTTGGCACTCCATGGTACTTTTTATATTCTTCTCCAACACCATAACTCAAATGCATCAATTCTTATACGGTCTTCCTTATTACACTGCCCAACTTTCATAAGCGTAAGAAACTACAGAAAACACCATGGCTTGGGTCAGACGCCAAATGGAGAACTAGCCTACTAAATCATAGTGCTACATATGCACGCTATTTACAGAGCATGCATACACTATTCATTAGCACATACAAAAAGCTCCTCAGGGCAGAACAAGGTGACTCAAAGTCAATACCCACAGCGGGCAGTATTTTGTGTGGAACAGATGCAAGGCTTTTAAAACAAAAAAAACTGATAAATATGGAGCAAATGACTCTGAGCTTTATTAAAAACGTATTTCAAAGCATTAAACTTACTCTAGGATTCATAAATCTAGTAGTTAATCAGGAATAATGCTCTGCCAGAGAAAATGGGAAAAGCCATTCCTCTAACTAAACCAACTGTGCTATGTTCCTCTGGGAGCAGTCTGCTAAAGCACATCATAGACTACTGCTCTTTATAAAACCATTTTATCAACGCTACCCATATAATAAAAATTGTTCTTGTGTTTTCTCTCAACTCTACCCACGTATTTAAAAAAAAAAAAAAAAAGGCTATGTTGTGGTTTAATGTACCTTCTCCTACTGATGAAATTAATGAATGCCAAAAAGACCCAAGTTTACAAAAGTTTTCTAATAATGTACAGAAACTAAAGTCAGAAGTGGTTCTGAAAATGGTATAAGGGAATGGGTTATGTCGTGTGGAGCAAAGGATAGGACAGAAAGAGTAAGGAAGACCTAGACACTATCTCAGGTCACTCAGCTTTATATAATGGCACGAGTACTGATTTAGACACAATTCAGTTCCCTCTTCCATAAAACTGGACTGATTTTATTTCATGTCTTCAGGAGAAGACACCCACCTATGGTACAGTCTCACTGAGGCCTAGGGCTTCCTTCTGGAGTGAGTCAGTAGGAAAACTGCACAGCTTAGGTAAATCTATAGCAAATCCAGACTCCTTCCACTCTTCTCCAGAGCAGCTCTCGAACTATATCAAACCTGAAGAGTGGGCACCATTTGACTTGCTTTTTAAAAATTATGTTAACCGAAATAAAATTCTGGTTTTCAAAAGGCTTCATCTATAAAAGATCATTTTCCAACAGACTGCTTCCCAGTAATGAAATCACTACAGGTGGCTTTCTTTTACAGCAAAGTGGAGAACTGATGATAAGGAACTGATGATGTCATCCTGAGACAATGTGCCTGCTGCCAATTATTCAGCTGACTTCTGTGGATGAAACCTAGCTGTCAGGATCCAAGAGCGCCTGTTCCAGTTTATTATTCTCCTCCCCCATAGCCAAGAGTGCCTTGCTGAGGGCAACATTACAATGGGTACTCAATGGAGGACAACAAAACTGAGAGCAGCAGTGTCCCAAGGTGCAGTGAGATGGTAAGGAGGGCAGGGGCAATGAAAAGGGGGTGATATATAAAAATGTTTACATGATGAAGATGTTGAGGTTAGAGAGTTAACACTGCGTACTGTTAGTCCTTGTAGACAGTCTGTTAGGGTGGGAAGAACAGGACTCTGAGCAATTTCACCACATGTAAAACAGAGATAATGGCACCTACCTGCCTGGGTTGGTGTGAAGATTAAAAAGAATTTGTATGAAGCGTCTAATCCAATCCCTAACACAGAAGAGGCCTCAACAAATGTTAGCTTCTCACCTTAGGCGCACCTTATCCTTCGATCATGTTCTCCTAATTCTGAAATCCACATTGACTCTCATCCATCTCTTTCACAGAGCTTAGAAAAATTGACCTTGATATACTTCAATGACCTCCACAAAGCCACCCACACAAATGGTAAGAGATCTAGAGGCTGAGTCAGCCTCTGTAACTCTAGCTCTCCCAATCTAAAGGACAAATTTCTCTGGGGGCTTTGATAAAGAAAAAAAAAAAAAAAAGTCATGGGAACAAACAGTACAGAGAGAACATTTCACACACTGTCTCATTCATTAGAAAGTTGCTGTATCATAGCCTTCACATTGCACGGATACTGCAGCGATTTCAACAAAAGCTTTTAATCTAAATGTGAGTTCTCATTAAAGCTAGACTGGACAAGAGCTTTCCTCTAATAAAACTGAGCAGTTCCACTAGTCAGAAACCAGTCCCAGCCATTGCTAAAGCTCCAACTAGACCCTGTGGGCAAAAGGAAAGCAGAGCAGCACACTCTGGGCCTGGGGAACTGGGACTGGACCTTCAAAAAAGGAAGAAGAACTTCAGTAGAATAAACTAAGCAGAGAGGCCAGAAAAGTGCCTCTTCCTTCCCTTCCACTTCAACTGGGTTTTTGTATGACCCTCTACTGTCACCTCTTGACGAATATGCTACAGATGTGTGTACCTGCTTTCTCTTTCCTTGTTAAGACTGAAATGCCAGGCAGAAATTGACATAGACATTAGGAATGGGATAAAAACACATTTTTAAAATCATGTTTAAACAGGATTTTATAGCCAGACTGAATTGGGCTTTGGGTTTTGTTTTGTTTTTTCCATATTTTATTTCATTAAAGTTTTCATCTATATTTATCTGTCTATCTATCTACCTATCTATCTATCTAAGGGGGCTTCAGAAAGTTTGTGGAAAAGTTCCATTATCTTTCAAGTCTATTTTTCTGTGAACTTTTTGAATCCTCCTTATGTGTGTGTGTTTGTATTTGTTGTTGGTAAGTGCTGTCAAGTCAGTTCTGACCCATAGCGACCCTGTATAGGGTTTCTGAGAAGCAGCTGGTGAACTTGAACCACCAACCTTGCAGTTCAAATGGCTTTGTAGTCTGGCACATTAGCCCACAGCGCCACACCAGGACTTCATATATATATGGAATACATACATACATACACACACACATACATACATACATGGAAGGGGCTTCAAGAAGTTCATAAAACTTTTCATTATCTTCTATTTCCATTTTTCATTAATTTTTTAAAAGCCCCCTTCTATGTCCATATGATATGACATACACTAACCTTCTGTTTGGGTGATGGTATAATTTGGGTATGGATAAGGGTGAAGATTGAATAACATGATGAACAAAATATCATTGAACTATACATGTGAAGAGTGTTGGAATGTCAAACATGTTGTTACATATATATTTACCACAATCTAAAAAAATTGTTTACAATAGTTTTGTATCACTTTTCTCCAAGTATAGGATAGTATTTTGAATACGAAAGTAAATTAACTTAAAGGGAGAAAATTATATATGTGGTGTTGTTAAGTACCATTAAGTCGGCTCAGACTCACAGCTATCCTGCATAGAGTTTCCAAGGAGCAGCTGGTAGATTTGAACTGCTGACCTTTGGTTCAAACCGACCTTGTGGTCCATGCTTATCCTACAGTGCCACACCAGCACTCCATAGGTGTGTCTGTGTGTGTAGCTATATTTCCAAGTAGACAAGAATCAATAAACTGAGCAAGCACTTCACACTCTCAAGGATAAGATGGACTTAATATTTATATTGGACTTTGTAGTATTCAAAACACTATCTCACAAGCTATCAGAGCCAGCCATACTCCAGTTAGGTAGGTAAGATGGTTACTATTGTCCATACTTTTATGTAACACATGATGAAATTGAAGCTAATCAAAATTAAATGATCCCCAAACCCAACCCCACCCCAGTCTTATAGTTAGTGAGAAAAAAAAGTAAGATTCCAGCTTAGTTCTTTTGATGGTAAAACCAGCATTTTTCCTCCTACTCTAGGAAGCCTTTCGCCAATTTCCCAATCACACAAAGCAGCAGTTCTTACCTTCCAACTCTTCTTTCTCATAGTGAATATTGAGAATTGTACTGGTCCCGCCCTGGTCCACCACAGCTTCTTCATCTGGTCTCTGTTTAGACACAAAGAAGCAGTAAAATGCAGACGTTCATTCAGATGCTTAACTAAGCACCAGTTACATGCCAGGCCCTTTATAAAACACTTAGGGAACAAACACAAAATTACAAATATTATATAATTTGAACTTCTCAATAATTTTAAGTGTCAAATATGACAGCCATTCTCTTTCTCATTTTTGAAATGAGCAACCTGAGACTTAGAAAACATTCAATAATTATTGTTCAAGGTCACAAAAATGTGGTAAAAGGCAGAGCTAGGACAGAGCCCAAGTCTTCTGACTACAGATGGTATGCCTTTTCTACGTTATGCATATGAATAACATAGTGGCATTTTGCAAATGCTGTCAACAGCACTGCCAAATTTGGTGTAAATTAATCTCCTTGACCGGATCTGTAGTATTTTAGCCCATTTACCATTTCTCCATGAAATTCTCCATCCTGGAGTGGGATCACTTTCTCCTTTGTTCCAACTTTAAGCTCACCTCCTTCCTTTAACCAAATTTCCCAAGAGCTCGCTACCCTTTGTTTTCCCTACTAAATTTTAAAATGCCAACCGCAGCCTGAAATGCTTTGGCTTATTAGCAAACTAATAGGATCACACCTCAAACTACTTGTGTCTAAAACCACGTAACCTTCCTTCCAAAACTAGCTCTTGTGCTCATTTACTTATTCTACTCATTGCACCAGCAGCCAACATTTGACATTTCAAACTTTTTATCCACTTCACCTTTATAGAGTGGCTACCATAGGCCTTCAGGGAGATAGTTCCCTTTTCTTACCACATCCTTTGCAGTTTTTCAAATTCACCACCTTTCACTGTACCCTACACTCTGTAGCCCCTTTAACTCACTGTTGTTAGCTGTTGTTGAGTCAATGGTGGCTCTCTGTGTGTCAGAGCAAAACTGTGCCCCATAGAATTTTCAAGGCTGTGAACCTTCGGAAGCAGATTGCCAGTCCTGTCTTCCAACATACATTTCAAATCACCGACCTTCCAGTTAGAGGCCAGCGTTGAACTGTTTATACCACCCTAGGAGTCCTTTAAATCATTTTCAGTTTTGGAGCCACACCACTTTTCCTGAAATGTTGCTCCCTCTGCTGGAACTATTACCCTATCCCTGCCATTTCTCCCCACCCAGTCAGCTAATCATCAGTCATCATCCTATGAGTGATTAGATCTCAGCCTAAAAGTACTTCCTTAGAAGCCTTCTCTGACTAGCCCCACCCAACTCCCAGCACAATTCTCCCATTATATGTCTCATAAGCAAAAAAAATGACAAAATCTGTTGCTATTGAGTCACTTCCTATTCATGACACCCCCATGTGTGTAGAGAAGAACTGTAATCTTCTCAAGGGTTTTCAAGGCTTTGATCTTTCTCACCAGGCATTTCTTTCAAAGTGCCTTTGGGTGGGTAGTAGTAGAACACCTAGCTATGTGTGCCACCCAGGGACTCCATATGCCCTCATAAGGCTTTGTATTTAATAATACAATTATTAAAGGACTAGAATCGGGCTGTGAACTGCAAGATCAGCAGTTCGAAACTACCAGCTGCTCCCCGGGAGAAAGATGAGACTTTCTGCTCCTGTAAGGATTTACATCCTCGGAAACCCTGTACAGGGTCGCTATGAGTCGGAACCGACTCCATGGCACATAACCACCATCACATCTCTGTATGCACCCTGAGGGAAGGACCAGATCTGCCTTCCTCATCACAGTATTCTCAGCACCCTGTACAGACGTTTTACATAGGTGTTCATACAGTTCTGTGAAATGAATGACTATAACAGCATCTACCTTCTCAAAACCCTCACACCTGATTTATTTCAAAGGTACCTTAGCCAATTTCCCTGCCAACCTATATCTCTTACCAAACTTGCAATTCCAGCCTGGCTCACTTATCTTAAGGGCACATTACCACCTTTTTATCCAGTCTAGTCATTTGGCATGCCCATCCCCAACTCTCCATCACACCCTCACTTATCTTGCTCATATTTTCAGCTTACTCTTCAAAATTTATTCTTTTGTAGTTATCATCTATGCCCCAAAATAAGGACACTGAACATAAGACAATCCATTATCCCAAGGAGAAGTTTCCAAATAAATTTGGGGGACCAACTTAAATGAAGCAAACTTTTAGAGAAGTAGATGAATTAGTCAATTATCTACTGAGAGTACTTTGCTTATTAACTTAGTTTTACAGATACATCTGAAGCTATATATTACTACTACCATGGAATGATCCCCAAGGTATACTATTAAATTTAAAACTCAAGGTGGAGAAAACTGTACAATTTCTGCCTTTATCTAAGAAATGGTGTTGGGAATTTAAGTCTCTGTCTTTATTTTTTAAATAAATAAAGGGGAAAAAAAACAACAAAACTAGTATTTAATAATTACCTATGGAGAAGGGAGGGAACAAGGTAGAGAAGCCAAGAATAGAAGCTAAATGTCTTTGGATAGACCTTATGTCATAAATATTTTAAATAATTTAAAACAAAATTCAAATTTAAAAAAAAATGGAACAAATGCCAAGTGATGGCATAACTGTTCCAGGATTAATTATTCCAAGGAATTTTAAACCACAGTAAACAGACTGATCATCCTTATGTGTCCAACAGACAAAAAGAAATTAAGATTTTTTTTCTTCTGACTTCTTTGCTGTTGAGCATGTTAAAAAGGTCTTGTGCAGCAGATTTACCTAATACAACACGTTGTTTCATTTCTTGACTGCTGTTTCCATGATCCAAGGAAAATGAAGTCTTTGACAACTTCAATCTTTTCCCAATTTATCATGATGTTATATATTGGTCCAGTGGTGAGGATTTTTGTTTCTTTGCACTGAGGTATAATCCATACCGAAGGGTTACAATACTCATACATACTGATCTTAAAATACTTACTGATGAAATATTTATCAATGGTACTGTTTTGAAAATTTAATTTCTATTTCTTCACTGATAACAATTTTAATAATTGTCACGTAAGCTTAATTCATTTATTAGCTCATATCATTTTCAGTTATGACTCAGTTTTTTCTATTGCCTTGTTGTTAGGATAATACTGAATGTGAGTGATAAGAGGGCTTGGTCCATGGAAGAAAGCACTCTAAATTTTTTTTAATTTTTGCTTTCATGGTTTTGTTTTATTGTTGATGCCTATTAGCAGAGATAAAAAATTCACTTTAATTTCTTGATTGCTGAGAGTTTTATCACTAATGAATGTAGACCTTTGTCAAATGTGTTTTTCCTGAACTCACTGAGATTATATTCTAGTTTTTCTTCTTTACTTTGATTTTCAAATGTTGAGTTAACCTTGCCTTGATTCAACTTCATCATAATGTGTTCTTATATATTGCTGAATTAAATATGTTACTATTCTGTGTTAAATTTTGGTGTTTATGTTCCTGAGGAATATTAGTTATCATTTTCTTGTAATTTTGTTGTGTGGTTTTCATATCAAGTTCATTCTGGCTTCAGAAAATACATTGAGTAAAGTTCCTTCCTCTTCTATTTTATGGACGAATTTGTAAAAACTTAGGTGGTTTTGTTGTTGCTACTAATATTTTAAGAAGATTCTTACACTGTTTTTAGTTATTGTGTTATTGGCTGCAGTACTGGTGAGATTGCTGTGTGTTGTGAGGTAAAACAAATAAATAATTATAAGAACTTATTCTATGGCTCTAAAACCGGGATTCTCAGCAAAGGAAGTAAAGTTGTACAAAAGAAGAATTTAAATACAAACCATGTATTCCTGAGTTTTCATTAGAAATATCTACATGAATACATGGTGTGGCACTGTGGGTTAATGCACTGGACTGCAAAGTCAGTTTGAACCACAGGGTCAACAGTTCAAGCTCACCAGCTGCTCCTCGGAAATCCTATACAGGGTTGCTATGGGTCAGAACTGACTTGGCAGCATTTTACAACAATCCATTCAAAAGGAGTCCTGGTGTGGCACTGCGGGTTAATGTGCTGAACTGCAAAGTCAGTTTGAACTGCAAGGTTGGTGGCTTAAGTTCACCAGTTGCTCCTCGCTCCACAGACACCTTATATAGACAGGGTGCTAAGAGCTGAAATGACTAGGTGGCACTTAACAACAACAATATCCATTCCAAAGGCCTAGAAAAAGATGATCCAACAAAAACAATGAGCATCATTAGCATACAGACTGTGGTCTCTTAAAAAAAAAAAATATATATATATATATATATATTTCTACTAAAAGGAACCAACTTCTCAAGAAAATGGCTGATCAGAGGTCTGGGACAGGAAATACACAAGATGAGTCTAAAACATCATGTCAGCTGGCAAAGAAGCTCTCAGTAAGGGTAATAAATAACTACAATTAATTGAATATGTGGTTGTTGTTGTTAATTGCCATAGGTTCGGTTTCCACCCATAGCAACCCTGTATAGAGTTTCTGAGGAGCAGCAGGTTAAGCTTGAACTGCCGACCTTGCAGTTTAAAAGACTTTGCAGTTTGGTGCATTAACCCACTGCACCACACCAGTACCAAATGTTAAAATTCATGAGTTCACAATGTAACTTAACATATTAACGAAGTGGTCACATTGGAAGATAATGCTGGTAAACCAAGTAAATATTTTGAAAACTGGTAAATAGTTTATCCTGACTTTCAAATATGAATTATACCATAGAGAATGGCACTATAGAGTAAATGAAAGAAATTTTTCATTCTAGAAGAAAATTTGAAAGAATTATACACCTGTTCCTCATTTGTCAACTATCTCCTTATCCAGTGTTTCACACAACAATAGGAAAAAAATCTGTTATTCTACGATTTTGCGCATTAATGAGAAATGTCTGTCAGTAACCAATGCCAAGGTGTGAGGCGAGAGTAACGCTGCCTGTGATGGTTAGGGCTATTGCATCAGCTTGGCTGGACCATGTGGTCCCTGGAGGTTTGGCAGTGATGTTACAATGTAGTTATCCTCCATCTCGTGATCTAATGCGACCATCCTCTCTTTTCACATAAT